CCTCCCGGTCAATTTGTGTGTTTTTACCTTTTACTTTATCGAATCAAGTAAACTATCCTAGACACGGTCTAGTATTGTTTACCCGGTTAGATAATTTACACTATCAGAAGTAATTAATAACGTTCCCACATCGCAAAATTATGCAATACCAAACTGCAATAACAAATTGTAGATGGTGGAAATGATTGTCAAATTGAATCGCTTGTTGATATAGTATATGGCCATTTGAAATGGTTCGGCAAAAGTATGATTTGCAATAAATCAAAAATAGAATTTTCATAAAATTTTATATTTAGATTTCTTGCAAATCATGCCTTTGCCGTGCAATTAATAATGTCATCTTTGCCTAATTTTTTTCAATTATATAGTACTTTATAAAAATAAGTTGTAATTAAGTTAAATTAAATATTTCAACTGTCTATAAATTACTTTTTTTTGCTTGTATACATTAAAATTATTTATCTATATTTCTTGAAAATCTTACTTTTCATTGTTGATTTTATTGTTATCGGTTATTTTATATAATTAAATGTAGTTAGACTAATTTTTTTTGATAAACATTGTTAATGAGTTTGAATGTGCACTGCACATTCGTTCAACAATATTACAAATTTAACATCCTGGGTCCAAGAGACAAAGTCCATGATTGGAGATGTAACATAACCTTTAAATGTGTAAATTGAACATTCCAATGTAGCCAATATCCAGAGCTCAAAGTACACTTTCGAAGTCAACTTCCCTTATTCTATTTTCTTTCGGGTAGCTAAGACTTTAAGTTAAGCTATCGGAAGAAGACACCACTATTTGTAGAATATCGTTGAACATTTGAATGTAGTTAATATTTGAATGTTTGATAACGACATGTAGCACCGTTTGTAGGATAAAACATCCTAGTATTGTCATGCAACATTCGAATGCTTGATGATAACTTGCAACACCTTTTGCGAAAGATCTGCAAACATTCGAATGTTGGTATTCAAACATTTGAATGTTTAGCGATTAGACGTCCTGATTCGTGTGTAGCTGCAAGCTTTCAAATATTTGGATAAAACATTCAAATGTTTACACAACTGGTGGTGCTTTTTCATGAAAAAGTCATGTCTGATCACTTGTATCTCTATATCTAAATAACCACTGTACGTTTGAGGCTCAAGAACACTCATACTTGTTCTAAATACTAAAGTCTTATCTGATTGAAATATTTTCATATATTATGAAATAACTTTAATTTTAAAAGTATATTTCGTGTGATTCATTGAGTCTATTAGGGTGGAGGATATACATAACCTCCTTACATATAATATATGGCCTTTTGAAATGGATTGCGATTCTTGCTTTTGCTATGCAATTAATAATGTCATCTTTGTCTAATTTTTTTCAGTTACATAGAACTCTATAAAAATAAGTTGTAATAAAGTCAAATTAAATATTTACTCTGTCCAATAATTACTTTTTTTTGCTCATATACACTAAAATTATATATCTAGATTTCTTGGAAATCTTACTTTTTGTTGTGGATTGTAGTATTATCGATTATTTTATATAATTTGACACTAGATTCTATACCTGTGAGAAAAAATTTATCATAATATATATTTAAAAATTGTGAAAAATGAACATATACAAAATTAATTAATTCGTCAATATAGTATAAAGATAAAATGTTAGAGTCATGAACTCCTAAGTAAATGCTAACTATTTAGTATATAAAAGTCATTGTGAATATTTATTTTTTTTAATGCACTCATAAAGAAGATAGATATTTTTACGAGTAAATTCCATAATTGGTCCTTTAGAACTGGAGGGTTTCCCTGTTTAATCCTCTAATATCAAATATTACTCCGGTGGTCCTTCTTTTATAGGTACGACCTTTCCACAAATAGTTTTTTTATCTTCTAACATGTTGGTGTTAATTTGAGAAATAAAAGTGTAATTTCACCATAATAATATATCTTTCTTGTCATACACAATTCCAAATGCCGCTCCTGATGCGTCGTTTGTGAATTACAAATGGAGTAAATTTCATAAAAGGTCCACAGTTATAGGTCGTTTTACATATTTATTCCCTACATAAAAAATATTACTAATTTAGTCCCCAATTATTATATTCATTACCACGAATGGTCCTTTGTTAACATTTCCGTTAAGAATGTGGATAAAATTGTATATTCATACTTCTCTCTTTCCTCAATTAAGCTTCCTCTCTCCTCTCGTTTTCTTTTCCAAACTCGTCGCTGACTTTGAAGCTTTAAACCCAAAACTGAAATGATAATTCCTCTCTCAATTATTAGTCTTCCGGGTGGAACCTAAAATAAAAACGAATAAGCTTTGTGGATGAGTTTTATCGATGAGTCTCAAGAAATTGCAAAGAAAATAAACATTAAAACTCATCCATGAAGGTTACTGGTTTCAAATTTGGGTTCCACTAGTTAGACAAACAATTGAGAGAAGAGTGATGATTTTGGTTTTGGGTTGAAAGCTTCAAACTCAGTGACGGGTTTGGGAAAGGAGTGCGAGGGGAGGGAGGAAGCTTAATTGAGGAGAGAAAGGAGTGTGAATTAACAATTTTATCCACGTTCTTAACGGAAATATTAACAAAGGACCATTCGTGGAAATGAAAATATAATAATTGGGAACTAAATTAGTAATATTTGATATGTAGGGACTAAATATGTAAAACGCCCTATAACTGGGGACCTTTTATGGAATTTACTCTTACATATTTTTTCTACTACAACCATAGTATACAGATGTGGTGTTTCGTCAGAATTTCAGCCCACAATCATAATCATTATTTTTGTTTATCTATCAAACCAATATCAGAATACGTCACTGGATATAAGGTTGATGTCAAATTACACTTTTAGTCATTAAATTAACACTAACATGACAGAAGATCAAAAAAGGACCATTTGTGGAAAAGCACTTATAAAAGAAGGACTACGAGGGTAATATTTGATAATAAAGGACTAAATATGAAAATTCCTCCATTGTAAAGGATCAATTGTAGAATTACTCTATTTTTACATTAAATAAAATAAATTATTCCTAAAAACCTAGCATAGCAGGTATTCATGTAATCATATACTTCCTCTCTCCCTACATTACCATTTTCTTTACTATTTTAGTATTTCGATAAGTTTTGTTTGCGTATGCTTTTACACGATATAATTAATAAAATAAAATGTCTTTGTCCCCAGAGATGATACTCCCTTTGTCTCAAAATTAACGTCTTAGTTTGATTAATATTTCTCCGTCCTCATTTTGATTACAATATTTTTTTCTCTCTTCTCTCGATAACTTTTGTTTATTTGTGTGTTTTCATTAAATATTTGATAAAGTAAAATATTATTGTCACCTGCCATTTTGTAAAACTTTTGACGTAGTTATTTAATATATAATTTTTATTTCTTATTAATGCACCAATTTGTAAATAAAATAATTTTAAAAATGTCCTATAATACTCTGTATTTGTTTGAATGTTGCCCATTAAAAAATGTAGCCCATTAAATGTATCCAAAAGTCCAAAAAAATGAATTCATTTACTCTGCATTCGGTGTTCTCGAGTAATCCGTGATCAGCGCCTAATAAATTATGACTAAGCACTTGTAAATTTTGATTATGTTTTTGAAAATCTTACATGTGGACCCCACAAGTCTGTTTTATTTTTTTCTTTTTTGGATGTACAAATTTTTAACAATTTATGATTTTTTAAGCTATAATGTTTTGTATTTTTAAAAGTATTTTTTTAATAAAACCTCCAAAATTACAGATTGACAACACCAAACAATGAGCTTGGACCTCTTTGGAACATGTGGAGTAGGCCAAAAATATTAAAACCAGTAATAATTGGACTAAATTAGTTTCAAAAAATTAGATAAAATATTCAAATGCTTACCCAAGTGGTGGTGCTTTTTAACCAAAAAGTCATGTCCAATTACTTGTTCTTCACATCTTATTTTATCATTCATTATGTATAATTCCTTCATTTTGGTGCGTGTATTCGTCGAATACCATTTAATTTTGGCACAATTCAAATACCAAAGAAAGAGAAATCTAGGCAGAAACGTCTAAAAAACTCCCAAAAAAATCGGCACATGCTCACACCGAGTAGCATGCATGCATGTTAGATAGGAGTATATATTTTTTACCATTAGTTACATTTACAATCATCATTTTAGTTTTAAGGCCTAATTACATGGCATATTGATGTGTCAAAAAATTGCCACATAAGTACTCCACATGTCAAGCTCTTGTGAAAGAAGTCTCAATTATTATAATAAAGGATGCAACATAAAATAATGATGCTTGGTTGGCCGTGAAAAAAATGACGGAGTACAAAAATGATATTTAAAGATTTGCATTCCAAACAGCTATTTTATTAATTATTAGTATTTAATTTGATGCAGTTTAACTTAATTGATATTCAATATTTCTCTAATTTGGTTGAAAAAGTAAAAGAAGAACATAGCTTTTAACGTTGAGATCATATTATAGTGCGGATGAAAAGATAATTAATAAAAATATATTTTTCTATCACCAAGTAAAATTCTCTATTTTTTATTCGACTTAAAATAAATATTTCACGTTTTTCCTTTGTATAAAGAGCGGCATATGTGCATCACTAGTGCGTGAATCACAAAATCATAGTGCGAGCACTAAGATTTACTAACACTACAAGAAAAGAGCCTTTTAGCCGCATTTAATTTGCCACACATAATCAAGTGTGGTAATAAAATTCAACACTTAATCATTCCCAGCACTTAAAAAAGAGGCAAAAGGGGATTTCATTTACCCGCACCAAAAAAGTGTTCCAAAACAACCTAATTATACTATGATTATTAGTCTTCTTTTATTCGGTAACATAGGAAGGAAATTTTTTTTAATTAAAATTGTATTTAAAAAATTTCAATTGACGGAATTCACTGAAAATAATTCCCCTTTAGCGCTCACTTTTTCATTCCAGCGCCTAAATTATTCATCCACCTAAAAAATCTAAGAAATCAAATGGTCTAATTATTCCAACCGCCTCGCACACATCTTGCATCACCCATCTGAAGAAATCAAGATTAGTGTATATATCAAGCAATTCGATCCGACGCTCGCACACATCGTGCATCACCGATCTAAGGTACGTATCATGTATTCAATCGAATTATTCCAGCCGGATCCATCATCAAATTATTCCAGCCGGCTACCGCACATCTAAGAAATCAAGTAATCCAGTAAGCAATTCGATCCTTTTTGTTCGAGCGAATTCACTAATCGAGCGGAATTCATTAACAAGGAAAGCCTTTTCGTTCAGCTCTGTCCTTTAGCGTGCATCGATCGTTATTCACAATCCATTGGGTAGATTCATTCTCTGGTCAACAGCTTCTTCTCAGTCGTTTGGCAAGAATCATCGATCCTCTTCACAATCGTTCAGCCCCCTTCATTCATTCAGGTATGATACCGGCCCCTAGTTCACATCTTATATACCCCTTCATTCTTAACGTTGTTGTTCCTAAATTTATGCATTGGGGCATGATTCTATATCTAAAAAGCAGTTTTGAATGGTTTGACAGTGTTAATTTTATTTTCTGATTTTTTTGTGTGAAGTCATGTGTTAAATAGGCTGAATGTATGAAGAAATATAATGGTGATTTTTACTTTCTGATTTTTTAAATTTTAGTTTCTGATATTGCTTTTTTAACCCTAAGGTTACAGAGGAACACTCAAGCATTAGGCTATGTTCTAATTACTTCACCTTCAATTTTTTCTGGACAAAAATTGCTTTCGTGTTCTATTTACTTCACCTTCAATTTTTTTCAAGTTTCAATTCCAATTTCTAACACTTCATATTTGTTTAATGTGGTTTTTAGAGGTAGTTGTTCATATTTTCGTAGCCAAGGACTCTGGCAGATTGAATTAGGATCACTTTTTTCTAAAATAGCTTTATAATGGTGAAATTGTTTTGAGAACTTGAGAATTTGGAGTACAAAGAGGTGATGAAAATGAATATTTGATCTTGAAAAACAAATCTATTCAAACCTTATAATTGGAGGATATGCTGTTTGCACTTTATGGGTTGGTAATTGGCTTTGGTTTGTATTGTTTTTAATGAAATGTGAAATAAAACTTTCTTTTTAAGTAGAAATTATGAAGGGACGGAGGCAACACAAGGGCTAGGCTTTGCAACCCTAGTTGCCGACTATGAATCTTGGGTCGAGGCGCAAAGTAGCAAGTTGATGCGGCGTGAACAGAAAGGGCATCAGTTTGGAGAAGCTATCATTGCCGAGAATCTGGTGATGTCAAGCAACTAAAACAAAGACAAATTCATTGTTCAGGAGTATTTTTGACGGTATATTCAACTTGTAGTTATTCAATTTCCCTCTTCATTTATCTGTTGATTTCGTGCTTAGTTTCCATTTCTAGTGGCATTGTTTACTCTATATGGCTTTGGGCTTGAACAAATCTCAAATTATCTTAAATCCTGTTAAATGGTTGATTTCTTTTGTGTATTGGAATCTAATATGTTCTATCATTGATCGTCACTATATGTTGTGTTTAAGATTTAAGCAAAATTTTATAATTTCGTATTTAATTGATAACTTTTAAAGTTGGTTCTCAATCCTTGCTTAAAATTGGTAATTTATATTGTACTCTGTGTAAGTTTGTTATAAGTATATTGGGAGTTAACACTTCATATATTTTAATGTGTATTCACGATTATTTTGTTTCTATAATAAAATAAGAATGGTGAAACTGTTTTGAGAAACTGAGAATTCGGAGTATATATTGGTGATAAAAATGAAGATTTGAGCTTAAAGAACAAATCTGTTTGGATCTATTTGGACCTTATAATGGCAGGATCTATTATCTACTTCATGGCTTAGCTTTTATGTGCATGGTGTTCACTGATTTGAGCTTAAAAAGAAAATCTATTTGGACCTTATAATGGCAGGATCTATAATCTGCTTCATGGCTTGGTAAGTGGCTTGTACTCTGTAAGTTTGTTATAAGTGTATTGCCAGTTAACACTTCATATATTTTAATGTGTATTCACGATTATTTTGTTTCTATAATAAAATAAGAATGGTGACACTGTTTTGAGAAACTGAGAATTCAGAGTATATATTGATGATAAAAATGAAGATTTGAGCTTAAAGAACAAATCTATTTGTACCTTATAATGGCAGGATCTATTATCTACTTCATGGCTTAGATTTCACGTGCATGGTGTTCCCTGATTTGAGCTTAAAAAGAAAATCTTTTTGGACCTTATAATGGCAGGATCTATAATCTGCTTCATGTGCATGGTATTTTCACATCCATCTTTAAATTAAAATGGCAGACCACTGTTTTGGAATTGGTTATTGAGTAGTTGATTTGGCATAGAATTTTTCTAAAATTTTCAACATTTGCTACAATGGAGTTCTGCAAATGAGCACTGCACTCCTGGTTCTTAAGTAGGGACTTTGAGATTTGTTGTGGTTTGACTTATGGTTCTTCTTGCAGTTCCTAAAACACGAGCACGTGCTGGAGTTGAGATGCTGAGTGCAAGTACTTTTTTTGGAGTTAATTGTTTTCTTTAGGTTTTAAACCAGAATGTGGTCGTGCATTGGAACACAACACATGCTCTGTCAAAGTCAAGCTATTGGGAGTTTTGATGATTACTAATTTGTTGTTCATTGTGTTTTTTCAGAAGCATTTAGCAAGGGTTGCTAAATTGGTTACTTTGAGATGTCGTGGTGTATTACTCTCCTTTTAATTAATAAAAATTTTCTTTTCTTAAGAGTGTCGTGTGTGAAAATGCATATTAATTATTTGAACCAACCAGTTTCATAGCATATTAACTCAATGGTAGAGTGTCGTGTGCAAGAGTGCACGGAAATGTGGGTTCAAATCCTGCATAGGCTTTTTATGAATTTAAAATATTAAAAACAATGCTCGTGCATATAGTTTTTTTAAAAAAATGATATTTGCGACACTTATATGTGTGGTGCCTTCCCAACACATGTAAGTGTTGCGAAAAAAATTATTACCCGCACATATTAAGTGTCGTTAAAATATTAATTAGCCACACTTATCTAAAAGTGCGGCTAAAAATTGCCCACAGTTATGTAGCCGCACTTAGGTCATGTGTGGCAAAGTGTTTTTCTCACATTTATAAGTGTGGCTAACCTCCATTTTAAGTGCGCCAAAATACCAAATTTCTTGTAGTGTAAATCATTTTAGAACGGTTAAAGCGTACTTAAATCGTTAGTTCGAGGATTAACCGCCTCCTAATTTTTTAAAAGAAGAATTATGTTGACTAGGATTTCACCTCACACGAGTGAAGTGGCGGCAAAGAAGGTAGAAGAAGCGGGGTCGTGCGGCGTCGGAACTCGGAAGCGGCGGCAACGATGGAGGGCTGGCGTCGTTACTCCGGCCGGCGATCGAACGAAGGAGAAGGTTCCCATGGTCGTGCAAAAAGTGGAGGGAAAAACAAAAGATTGAATTCCTGCCACATGGTAAAATTGAACAACGTTCCCACATCATAAAATTACACAAAACCAAACCGCAATAAGGAATTGCAGATGGTTGAAACGGTTGTCAAATTGACCCATGATGATGGAATAAACGAACATTATAAATAGTTTGGCAGAAGTAGGAATCGCAGTAAATCAAATATGGAATTTTCATAAAATTCTATATGTAGATTTCTTGCGATTCCTGCTTCAGCCATGCAATTAATAATGTCGTCTTTGTCTTTATTTTTTCACAACATCATGAATTCTTTTTTTATTCAAAATTAGAGTGTTTTATATATTTATTTGAGTGATAATTTAATCGAAAGATTTTTTAACACTTTAATTCTTCTAACATTTTCCAACTCCTTTCAGTTTTATCAACTTCTTCAAATTTCTTTCAACATCTAACTTTGAAATTACAACTTAAAAGAACGGGGCCTTAGTTAGATCAACATTTTTTTAATAAACATCGTTAACGAGTTTAGAGGTTTGAAGTGGGCACTCGCTCCACAATATTAAAAATTTCATAGTGTGGGTTCGAGGGCTTCAAATATTAAGATGTTGAGTACATAATAAATGTGATATCCCAAAAAATCTAATTTATGTATATGTACTATTTCCAAAATAGTTTTTTTTGTAAAGATGACTTAACCAAAAAGAAGCATGTCGGGAAGTGCCTACAGGTTTCGTCATGATATCTGTAAGTTGGTGTTTAAAAGATGAAAGGTAGTTTATCTATCTCACACATAAAACCACACTTACTATTTGTAAAAGAGGAATTTACTTAAATAACACTAAAACATAATGACTTTCTCTAAATAGCATCACATGTGTTTTTTACCAATGTAGCAATTTTAGTCTTTATGCATTAGTCATTATTCAAGTAAATATTCGCCATCACTCGACATTACGGACATTATTAAGTGTTATTTAAGGAATAAAATTATTTAAGTGTTATTTAGGGAAATGACTTAAGTTTTAGTTGTTAGACAAGGCGTGCAACTCTAGAGGGGGGTGAATAGAGTTGTTGAGAAAGTTTACCGATTTTCGCAGGATTAAAAAATATAAACGTAAGTGCAGCGGAAATAAAAGAGAGAAGGCAAAGAACACACCGATGTATACTGGTTCACCACCTCGTGGCTAGTCCAGTTCCCCGAGAGACTCTCTCGAAGCTACCACTACTTCCGTTAAGCTTACGGGTGCTTAACAAACCGCTTACAACTCGAGAACTTGAATCCCACAAGCCTCGACACAACCGCTCGTAGATATGCACTCTACAAGACTTCACAACCAAGACTTAAATCACATAAGCCTTGAACAACAAGAAGAACAATCTTCTTCAACCTCTCAACAATGGCTCTCAAAAGAGTAGATAAGAGAAAAGATTAAAGCTCTAATGGATGACAAGAGCACTCTCTTGAAAACACTTAGTTTTCTCTCAAAATAATATCAATTTGAGGAAGAAATGAATGGAGGATTATAACCTCAAGATATGGGAGTTTAGGAGTGCTTGTTCTTGAGAAAAATGACCAAGGAAGAGTGTTTAAATAGGAGGTGAAGAAATATATCCGTTGGTCCAAGAAAAGAAGCTGTGATGAAAAATGCAGCACATTAATCGATTAATGCATCACCATAATCGATTAATGCATCATAAAAAATCGATTAAAGCAGCTTCAAAAATCGATTAATGCAGTCTGCAAGGAAAAGGATAATCGATTAAAGGAAGATAAAAAATCGATTAGTCGGCTCTGCCAGCCTTAATCGATTAACAGAGGAGCAAGAATCGATTAAAGTTCTAGCCCAGGGTAATCCAACGATAAGCAGTTAATCGGTTAATTTTGGAAGATTAATCGACTAATAAGGAAATAATGCCCAAACACAAAGGGCCCAAGCCAGTTGCGATGGAGAGCAGAATTGGCCTAACACTCGTTATTTGAGACAACGGGAATCAGAGAACGCTCCTCCTCTCTTCTTCAATGAATTTGAATAAGGAAATAAAAGTGAGTCCAAAAATTATTTTGTGTGTCAAACGATGTACACAAAAAATATTTGAATAAAATATTTTTGCTTACCAAAAATATTTTATAATATCAAAATAAATATTTGATAAATGTTTGGCACACCTTTTGTAACTGACTCAATAAAACTATTTTGAACAGTTAAAAAGATTTTTGAACTGACTTCAAAAATAAATATAATTTTTATTTTAACACTCATAAAAATAATTTTGGAGAGAAGATATTTTTGTCTTCCTTACAATTATTCCTAAGACTCAAATAAATAAAAAGTCTTCGGAAAACTTCTACTCCTCCGAATCCTCCGTTAGGCGCTCCGAACGCGTCTCGGACTCCAAAAAATCTTGTGCACCTTCTTGAATACTTCAAGGAATGGCACTTCAAGTCTTCGTGTTTGTCGTTGTAGCACTTTGATCTTGACTTGAATAAATTGTGTTTGTCAATTATCAAAACCTGTGAGTCAACACTTAACAACACAGAAATGGTTGAACTCATGCATTCCAACATTAGTGCTATTTAGTGCAAATATTTCTTTGGAAAATCAAATTATATCTTTTTTTCTTTAAAAGTATTTCTATTGAGAATTTGACCAGGCCAAATAATATACTTTAGGCCCTATTGGAAATTGAATAGCATAGTGGATATATATTTAACGGTGTAAATAAATTTTTAAAACGTCAATGCTAAAAACTAGCTTTTGATAGTCTTTTCAAAACGCTAATACTAATCTCTAACACTATTCTAAAACATGTCTACTCTTTTAATATAACTGCTTGGTTTGCCAAACTTTTGGCAAAATTTTTAATTTTATAAATTGGAGTAATTTTTATTTAAACAAAAAAAATTTATTTCTATTTTAAAAAGGACCATTTAACATTTTATTATTAACTCTTTATTTTCTTGTCAACGTAAAGAGTAGATGATGGGGTTAAGAACGATGAGTGACCATGCAAAACAATTCAATTTCTTGAATCAAAGATTCTAATTTTCAAATTTGGAAATATCATTGTAAAATGTCATATTTTTTAGAATAACCATATGATCTTTTCCTTCTCTTTATTATCACCAACTCCCTTATGTAAATTTTTAGTTCTCTAGGTTTGTTTTAGCCACGACTAGGATTGTAAAACAAACGAATCGATTTGAATATTTTAAAATTTTATTTGTTTTTGAAAAATGATACCATTATTCATATTCATACTTCAGAGTATTTTATTAGAATTACTATTACTATTCGTATTCGATTTTATATTAAATTCAAATATTTGATTCATATTCTTATATTTTGAATTTTTTTACTCACTCTGTTCGAGAAAACACTTCATCTTTCATTTTTTTGCTTTCACCAAAACATCACTTTTTTTTATTAAAATGGTTAATATATCCAAAAAATATACAGAGTTAGTCATCGTTGGAAAAGTTACCATGTTTTAGTTATTACTCCGTATATTTTAGTACTCCCTCTGTCCACCATAGATCTTTTAGACACTATTTACAGGATCAAACTTAGTTCACTTTGTTTATTTTTACTACTCATTAAAATAATATAGTGTTGTCACTTCTGGTTCACAGAACTTTTCATGTAGTTTATTACTACATAGATTTTATACTAAAATTTTACCCTATATTCAAATAAATTGAATTGAAAATAAAATCGGTCAAGCCTCATAACGCGCAATGGAAAGATCTTAGGTGGACAGAGGGAGTACTATTTAAGTAAATTCCCCCAACATTAATTAAAAATATTTTCCAACCAATAAAAATGAAGTATGGAGACTGAGTGTAATCCACTATGCGCTAGCATTAAAAATCCAAATTAAAATTCACACATTCAAAATCTTCAAACTAAAATTTTCAAGCTTTGAGTATCATCAAATCAACAGGCCTAAAAGCCCAGCTTCCTGGCCCAATTACACTTCGTTGGGCCAGTACTTTTTAACCCGAACTCCACCTTATGGACACTATTCCTGCAAAATCATATTCCAAGTTTGTCAAGGGACTGCACAATGGACATTTCACTCATCTCCAAATTTATTGATACTCTCTCTATCAATTTTGAACCTTTTCAGTTTAATTTTCAATGTCAATTTTTTAAAATTTTACCGCAAATTATAGAAAAAAAATATATGCAAATTTGATATCAATTTAATAATAATAATAATAAGTTCATTTTGAAACACAATTTTGAAATATATTACATTTTTATAATATACTCCGTATCTATTTATAAATGACAGTATTGGATTGATATCCAAAACATTACATTGAAGACCGTGAAAAAACAACTGAAAAGACTCGGGCGGGGAGTAATACAGAGTATCAATTTTAGACGTGACAATATCGGTTCAGTTTTTTCCGATTCCCAAATTCCGAAAGATTAAGGGCTCGTTCGATAGAACTGGACTCGGTTAGTTTGAAATTGATACACTTGTTGAATCATGGGAATATATATTTTAAATTTATTTACTGATATTTAAAAAAATAAAACCTCAAAAAAAGACAGGAGTGTCATTTTCATTTCATTAATTTGAATGAATAACTAGCAAATTCAAAAAAAAAAAAGAAGTGATAAAGATAGAAAGTGAATGGATATATATGTTTACCAGTTATGGTGTGGTTTCCATTTAGCTCTCATTAGCTTTTCATCCAATCTTTGTTTGGCTCCTCTGGCAACCTCACCCAACCTCTTATCATCCTCATCCTCATCATGTCCTTCTCTTAAGCCCCTTCCCTCCTAATCAAAGCATTCATCACCAAAATATCACAAGTTAATAATTCATATTTTGTACAACTTTTGACATAAGCCTTTTAGAAACATTTGAAACATTTTTTTTATATATTGTCTAAACATGTATCCGAACCCCCTCACCCATCAATAGGCAAGAGTGTTTTAGACACTTTCACATTTTCAAGAACAAGTGTGGATTAATGTGGATTTTCGAATTGTGCTTTGGCGACCAAAGATCAGCGTAATTTAGAGCCGCGGAAGGGAAGAAGGCTAGGATCGTGTCTCTCGTCCAAAATGCGTGTCACTTTGCGCGGTCTTGAGAAAACGGTGCTTATCCTTTTTCAAAAATTTTCCTTTAAGAAAATTCGAAAATTAAAAATTCAAATGAATTTTTAACATAGCACTTTGTCCAAAATGTCAGGGGCTCTGCCCTTGCACCCTGCAGGGGCTGTCGCCCCTTGAACCCTGTTCGGGGGCGCTGCCCCCGAACTTTGTTAAGACGAGACTTTTACCATAACAAACTCAACGAAGCGTTCAAGGGCGCTGCCTCCAAACCCTGTTAAGACGAGACTTTTATCATGACAAACTCAACGAAGCGTGCACTCCGCACCACCAAATTTTTTTGATGATTATTATGATATCATTGGTCAAATAGTTTTTCCAATTACACTAAAATATATAACACTACTTGGCTATAAATAATGAAAAAGAGTATATATAATTATAATATGAATTCAATATAATTAGACAGATACAGTTTTGACATATGAAATCTTTATAACATTTGATGAGTACTTAAATTATGTTTAATTTATAATCAAAGAATGTCAAAGTTTGACAAAAAAAAAATCAAAGAATGTCAAAAGAAAATCAAAACACGAAAGTTTTTCCTAGGACCACGGAGGGATCGGAGTAGAAAATTAAAAATGATCTTGAAATACATACATGATTAAGGTTAAAACATATGCGTTTTGATTTGTACCATGAGTGGGTTTGATGATGATGATGATGAGGTGTTGGTGGTAGTGTACAAACAGCAGAAAGACTTTCTTGTTGCTGCAATTGGGAAAGATGATTCCAACACCCTTTTGTTGTTGTTGTTATTATTGCTATGATGATGAAACCTTCTCCTTCTTGCACACTCAACCCCAGGAAGCATTCCAGACATCTTTCTTCTTCTTCTTCTTCTTCAAATCTCTGATCTCTTTAACAAAATTTGCAGAGATCTGGAGAAATGATGTTTTGTGGAGATTGAGGTAAAGCTAATAAGGCTAATTAATTGGGTATTTGTGATATAAAGATTCTAAAAGAACAATTTTATTTATATTTGTGAACTGTATGTATGTTTGAGAAGATGGAGAGGTGTGTTTGGTTGGTTGGAAGGAAGGAAGGTTCCAAGAAGGTTGGCATATTTCTTGTTTGGTTTTTTTTTTTTTTTTTTGTTTTTTTTTTTGCATCCACCTAACCCCACTCATTTGTTCGGACACAACAAAGACGATTGTATCTGTGTGATATGTCAAATTTAAAGTTATACTTTTCAAAATATTTTTTGATTTTGATTTTTTGTAGCTGATCAATATCGATTTTTGACATCTGATTAATTAAAAGTTACAGAATATATTAGAGTAAATTTCCAAAATAGTCCTTTGTAATAAGGTGTTTTCCCAAATTAGTCCTCAATAAGTTGTAATTACCTACGTGATCCTCTATAATTGAGATTTATTCCCAAAATAGTCCTTTGTAATAAGGTGTTTTCCCAAATCAGTCCTCAATAAGTTTTAATTACCTATGTAGTCCTCTAGAATTGAGATTTATTCCCAAGATGGTCCTTCGTAAATAATGTTACTCAAATGAGGATTAATTGAGAGTATTTTTTCTCTGCTAAATTTAGAATCAATTCTTAAAATAATCATTTATAATGAAGTGCTTTCCCAAAATGGTTTTTCTAATTAAAGATGTGTATTTGATTTAAAATTTAAAAGATTGTTTTAAGTTTTATAAATGTATTTGGTTTATCTCTATGTAATAAGGTGTTATACCAAATCAGTCCTCAAATTAGGATTAATTGGGAGATATTTTGGTATTTTGATCATCCAAATTTAAAGTATATTCTCGAAACAATCATTTCTGTACAATTAAATGTAAAATTTTAAAAATACATTGAAAAACCATTTAATTAGAAAAACCATTTTGGGAAAGCACTTTATTATAAATGATTATTTTAAGAATTAATTCTAAATTTAGCGGATAAAAAATACCCTCAATTAATCTTCATTTTGAGTAATACTCCGTATTATTTATGAAGGATCATTTTGGGAATAAATCTCAATTACAAAGGACCACGTATATAATTAAAACATATTGAGGACTGATTTGGGAAAATACTTTATTACAAAGGACTATTTCGGGAATAAATCTCAATTTTAGAGGACCACGTAGGTAATTAAAACTTTTTGAGGACTAATTTGGGAAAACTCCTTATTACAGAGGACTATTTTGGAAATTTACTCAATATATTAATTAGGTATAAACATATTTTGAATACATTTTACAAGACAAGATAAATCTAATTTACTATTCTTGTGACAATTTTAATATAAATTTTGTTTAATCAATGGTCAAAGTTTATAAATTTTGGCCGTAAGATTTATCATTTTTGTTTGTTTTTTTTGGAGAATAATTGCCATCCAACATATTTTTTTTTCTCTTTTAAACAAGTTTTAATCGCTCATTTTTCATCATTCAACGCTGTTCTTAGTCTCGTGAAGTCAAAGTGAGAAAATTAATTTAGTATGAATTGAAGACTCTATAATTGTATTTGCAAGTTTGAAAAAATTATATTTCCGACGGTCGTCAATCCTTTAAAAAGGCTATACTAATTAAAACGATAGCGACCCAACATTTTTGCACACACATTTATAAATAGTTTAAAATTTCGACAAAACTGCAAACATCAATTAATAGATCGTCATTATGCCATAAAATATATATCCCAAATTGATTACAATGTAATTAATTAATTAATTATTCCCGAGTGCACCCAATGATCTTGGGAGCTTAGGAGCCGGTGCGGGTGCCAGCAGGTTGCCTTCATCCTTGTTTGGCTGCAACAATTGTATTCAAAACATGCAAAGTTAGGACAAATAGTTTGCATAATTTGAATTTTCTAGTCAAACTGCATAAATTTTGACCATAAAAATATTTTGGTATGTACTTTTTGAGCATAAAATTTTCATATATTCTATTTATATTTAGTTATAGATATTTATCATCAAATGGTGGAATTAAAAGAATTAATTTTGAATTTTAAAAAATTACAACTATATTTGTCTATCTAAAACCATTTATTTTGTCTAAATTTATTAATTACCGGGCATTCGTTTAACTAAAAAAGATTGTGTAGATTCAATTCTTTCTCTCCGACATTTTGCAGTGTATCTTACCTATAATTATCGTATATTTACAGATCACAGATCCTGATTCAGTGAATAAGATTAAAAGACTACAAATGAAATTAAAATACCTTTGCTACTAAGGATGTTTGGATGTGTGCTTTAACCCGCTTCGCACCATCACCGCCAAAGAAATCAGAATCCTTCTGAACTGCATGAATACCGGGTATGCGGGCGGGCCCACCAAACATGTCGGGATCGGCGTTCACGCCGACAATATGATTAGAAGGAGAGAGGGCAACCACGAGCATCATCAAAAACACCACAACCAGCTTTTGGCTGCCAGTCATTGTTATGATGTTTTTTTCTTTCTTTCTTTCTTTTTGGTCTTTTTTTATGTATATCTTTTTTATTTATTCAGTTTTTGTTTTTTTTTTCCGTTTGTAGTGTTTTTGATGGCCGGCTAATGGATTATTATGCTACCCTTTGATTTATTTGATTTTGTTTCAAGGTAATCCGATGTTTGAGGATTAACATTTGCTTTTTAGTTTTTTAAGGTTGAGAATTTTACGTTAGACTAATAACAAACACATGGACATCCAAAACTCATGGAAGAAAACAATTTTTTTTTGTTTAAAAAAAAGATTCATTCCAAATATTCCAGGTTCTTTTGACATTGGTCTTCAGTGTCATAATAGGACATTGCGCCATTTAGAAGCCAGACATTATTATGTTGGGCTCACGTTCGAGGGATGCATGACGTCGTTCTGCTATTTGGAGGGGGGGGGAGACGAGGGGTAAGGACGTAGGACTCGGTTTGAAAGCAACGGAGCACGGGAAGTCTCATAAATGGCCTTGGTGTCATACTATGACACCTCCACGACCCGTGTCAAAAAGAATGCCACCGATGTTTTATACTAAAACAGTAAAAACCCACTATGGGAACCCCATATTTGACACCATCGTGTCTCATAGACACACACAAGATAACTGTTTCTGTTTCTGTCACTGTGTGTCTTTGTGAGACACTATGCTCTTCCATGAAATCAGTTCAGGAGGGATCAAGTCCTCATCACAAGAAACAACCGCTTGCGCCGTCAGCTTGCCTACCCAACCATGGTACAACAAACCCCTTGATCCGAGCCCGGTAAGCAACCAAAACTTTTTGCTCCTTTGGTTCCCGACCACAAACTCGTCAACACAACCCAAGAGCGGAAGCGACCCTTGAGGCGTGAGTGGTGGCATTGCCCTTAGGCCTCCGCTCGCACCGGCTATGGTAGCCCGGTCGTTCCTTATGGCGGGATGCAACATGGATGCCTTTCTATACAGAAGCTCTTCTGCGGCTTTACCAGCTTCCTCTTGTGAAACCTGACTCGAATAGTTCCTTGAGTTCCAATCCCACGTGGCACCTACTCGGAGATCTCGCGGGCCGTGAATGGCGAGCCATGCATCTCCTAGTATGGAAGGGAAGTCATCTGTATAATCCTCTCTGAAATCAATGAATGTAGACATGACGTATGTCCACATTCATACAAATTTTGATGAATCCTAAAAGTCATAATGATCGGTTAAACGTGAATGGAAGGAGTATATATATTATGTATAATAACTACCTTGCATCGTCGTCAACCTTCAGGTGGACGATAATGCCCCTGCATGTCCGCAATGGGATCCTTCCGGAGAGCTCCGGGAGAAAAGCTGCTCTGGCACCGAGACATATGATCACGGCATCATACTCCCCTGAAAGAAATATGTTGCATGTGTTTCTTTTTTGTTTTCACTCCTAAATTTTCATTTGACTTTCTATGCTGGTCAGAACTTGCCTGCTAGTTCAGAGAGACAGTCAATAGATTTTTTGTGCAAATGCAACTCTTTCGGGGCAGCACTCAAATCCGAAGCGTCTTTTGCAGCATTTTGGCATGCCAAGTAGAGTGCCTAATAAAAGTTAATAGTACAAATTCATCACATCATGGTAAAGATTGTTTTTACTCTATTATTTTTACCTCAAACAAAGACACAAGAGGTGAAAATAAGAGGGAAATAAATTTTAAGTTCCCTTCTTATCTTCCTTTTGTGTCATGTGGGAAACTCACAAACACAGCATACGATGTTAGAATAACAATGCTTTGCCATTCCCATACCTCAAGATAATATTTGGAATTTACAGTGAGAGCTTCGGGCATGTGAAAGGCCAAGTCTAGAGGCACAAATAAATCCGGAACAATCTTATGTGCACTTTCTTTATTAATGGCCTCTATTCTACAGCTGTGAAGACAGTGTTCTGCATTCTACTACACAATCATAAATAAATAAATAAAATAAATAATAATGTAGTTGCTTTAGTAAGTTTTGAGAGCTCACATCAATCATAATGTCCATATTCTTCGAACTAAGTGCGGGCCTCAGAATTCCGCTGCAGCAAACATGTTCCATACTTAGAGGTTACAGCTCAGTATCATTCACTATGTAATATGAAGAGCTATTTGCATGCGAAAATGATGAATGAATATTTTCTCCTTAATGATCTGCTTGAGTTTTCATTTTATTTTTGAAGTTCAAGTTAAAATCTAAAATCATTGAATTCTTTAATGGGAAAATAAATTTCCATTCATTCTCTTCATGGTTTGTCGGAGAAGTTGAGTAAAAAGAAAGCGAAGAAAGAATGTGGTATGCAAGAAATTATTACCAACACTCTTAGGGCCACTCCTGGGAATCAAACACTCAAACACTATGAAACAAGACAAACTTGTGGAAATGGTTAAAGATTCAAGCCAAATGCTGCTACTCTATAATGATGAAAGAGCGGACGCGAAAAAAAAAATATTGCCCAAACCTTCTCCTAACCATGAAGTCCCTTCCACTTTGACCTTGATCTTGTTCTTCTACGCATAATGATTTGGACACTTTTGCATCTTCAGCTACCCTTAAAAGGTTTAGACTCTCCTTCCAACACTCTTCTCCTTTCCAGAGTAATTTAACTGCAAACAATGTTTTACTTTGAGAAAAGAATCAATATACCCCTTAAAATTGTACCAGAAATTTAACCACGTGGTTAACATAGAAAGTGTTAAACTGTAAAGTTTGCACCTTTGGGAGAATATGGATGGAGGAGTCCACCAGAAACTCCGGACGCACCTCCACCAGTGCCGATTTCATCATATATATGAATGAAAAGATGTGCCTCCTTGGAACTGTTCTGCAAAGATGAAATAGTGGAGCAATTAAAAGCGGGTAAATTGGAGAAAAAAGTTCTCAAGAAATACATTAAACTGTAAAATGAAAAAGAGCAAAAAAACTATATCATAAAATAACAACTGAACCAGCCAATGCTTGAGGTCATGTTTGGAGCCTAGAAAATTGTATGAAATAGTAGAAAATAAATTGTTAGGGAATATGGAGTATGTTTTTCTAATGTTTTCTTTTACATAGGATTATATGGTATACAATCTAGAATCTACATCGATTAAAAGTCGAAAACCTTTTAACAATTAACATAGATGTAGATTTTTTTAACCATTGTATAGTTATATACTAGTATACTACACCTATATTTAAATAAAATAATTTTGAAGGCATTGAACAAAGATCTAAAATTTAGTACACGAGTTGAGCCAAATCTTCTTTCAAATTTCCTGCATTNCTATTTTCTTTCAGGTAGTGTCTGGGAACTAATGTTTCATTTCAATGCATGGATTTCAAATTGAGCTTTGTTATGAGTGAGAGGAATTTGACTCAAATCTAAATTCAAAATTTTAAAGTTTCCCAAACATAGAATTTGAACCAAATTTGGATTTGAAATCCAAATCCAAGTTTCCAAACATACCATTATGGCATTTTACTAGTTCCAAATGGCCCCTAAATCTTGAGCATTTTCCACACTCCCCCCATCCTAGTCCTCCATTCGATTCTCAGAAGAAGATGATGAGGAAGAAGAAGAAAAGAAGGCAACTCTCCTCTCAATCATTACTAAAGCAACATACAGATTATCTGCACATTTATCAAACAATTTGATAGAAATGTGGAATAAAGGTGAACTTAGCAGGTCTTGAAATATAATGAAGGATAAATTATATACCTGCAACAAATGCCAAACCACAGATAACCCAGCATAGCCAGCACCAAGAACTGCATATCTGGACAGAAAAATCCAAACCAAAGAAAAAAAAGAAAACCATGAATTCAATATGGGTATGCTGACAATTGCACTGATTCAAATTTTGTTGTTAAACTACTAAAGAGGTGAAATTGAACCTGAGGGGGCGCTGGGAAAGAGCAGAGTAACAACGGGTAGAGAGCAGAAAAGAAGAAAAAGGCGCAATTTTTGGTGAAATTGAATTCTTGATCTTATAAGATGTGCCTGGAAGTGATTTCTTTGGTGATTTTGCATTGAGTTTCAGATAAAAGGTTGCTGGGTTTTGGGAGAGTATCGCCATGGCTATGCTCGGCGATGTTCGCTTCACGCGCACCCTACACCGGAGCTTTAAGCATTAGCTTAATAGCTTCCTCACAATTAATTTATAAAATTAAAATTTTATTTAAAATGCTAACACGTTCCCAAAACAAGGCCTCTATAAATTTCACTCTCTATCATTTTTTACTAGTATCACACCTGTGCGTTGCACGGGTTATAGTTACAGTACTAATTTAAGATTATTTTTAGGAATATATAAATTGGTATATAATGAAATATAGAGATTTCATTATTTTAAAATACAAAAGTAAAATGATTTACAAATTTCGAAAGACTTCTTTATAAACTACATCACTCGTATCTATAATTTGTGTGAGCATTCATTTCGTTGTATATTAGAATCTTCAAGCCATTGCGATTTATTACTCTTTAAATTGCAACATACACTTTTTCATGACTAAATAGCAGTTTCCGTAACAATAATTCAATATGTTTCAGATATTGTTCTTGATAATAATTGAATAACTTGACTTATCTAAGTAATAATTCAACATATTAATGTATTTATTTTGGAATTTGTATTTTTTAATTTTATTTTTGTATTTAAGTGGTACCATTAACTTACCGTATGATATTTATTTTCTATTTTATTTTAGATCACTTACCATTTTTACACGTATCAATGCTTGTAAATTATAGTATTAATAGTATTTATTTTAGAATACTTATACCATTGTTACATGTTTCCATGCTTATAGTATTAATAGTATTAATTTATAATTTTTTAATTTTTGCATTTAAATGGTACCATTTGCTTAATGTACCATATTTATTTTTTAATTTATTTTATAACACTTACCATTTTTACATGTTACCATGCTTGTAAATTGTAGCATTAATTGATAGTATTATTTTGTAGTTTTCTATTTTATTTTTTTATTTAAATGGTATCATTTACTTACCGTACCATATTTATTTTCTAATATATTTTAGAATACTTATGGTTTTAATAGTTATTTTATTTTCTAATTTATTTAGAACACTTACCTAATTTATTTTAGAACACTTACCATTTATTTTATTTTGTGTTTAAATCGTACCATTTGCTTATCGTGGTGACATACCATTCCGTATTTATTTTCTAATTTTCTAATTTGAACACTTACCTTTTTAAAGAAAATCATGTTTTTAAAGTATAGTATTAATATTAATTTTGCAGTTTTTTATTTTATTTTCTTGTTTAAATCGTACTAATTACTTACCAAACCACATTATTTTCTAATTTATTTTAGAACACTTATCATTTTTAGATGTACTCTCTCTGTCCCTAAATAGATTACAATTTTTTTCTCTCCTCTCGATAACTTTTGTTTGTTTACGCGATTTCATTAAGTATTTGATAAAATAAAATATTCTTATCACTTCTTGTTTTGTAGAACTTTTGACGTAGTTGTTTAATATGTAATTTTTATATCTTATTGACGTAGTTGTTTATATCTTATTTCCTCTTTAAAAGGTAAAAAATGTACCGTTAATTATTACTTCTACAATTTATTTCGTCTGTAAAAGGTAATAGTATACAGTAATTATATAAAAGGTAAAAATTGACATCATGCTTTGTTTAGTAATATATATTTAAGTTTATTATTGGAACTTTCATAGAAGGTAATAAAAATTTATTTCCTCTATAAAAGATAATGATGTACTTAGTAAGTGAAATTAGTCCTTTATTATAATAAAGGAGACTCGGATGCATGAGAATGCGACATTTGGCACGCCTATTTGGCAAAAAATGGAACACATCAGCAAGCCACCTAACCTATTTGGCAAAAAATGGAACACATGAGCAAGCCACCTAATAATAGAAAAAATAAAAGAAAACAAAAATAAAAGAAAATAGCGGAGAAGAGGAGCCTATTTCGCGAAAGTCACGATGAAGATCTGCCGAGCCTGGAGATTTTCAAAATCAAACCTTTCCTTCTATGGTCGCTGGAGAAACGGAAGAAATTGGATGAATTTCCGAGATAATTTCATTGGATTTTCGCATTCAACAAGCCTTTCCTTCTATGGTCGCTGGAGAACCCGGAAGAAATTGGATGAAGATTATATTCATAATGGTAAGTATTTAAATACTATTCATATATCTTAAACCGTAAGAAATGGTTTTAAATACCTGTCAAATTAAATAAAATGGTAAGCTTTCAAATTTAGAATACCCATCAAATTAAATAAAATGGTAAGGATTTAAATACTACCCATTTATATTAAACATGTACCATTTCTTATGTGCATTTAATACTTAAATTTTTTACATTATGATTATTTTTCATATCACTATAATTTCAGATGATTTATAATAAAAAATTACACGGAAATATCCATATTAAATTGTATAATAAATTTTGAATTATTACCAATTTAAAGGGTGCAGTGTTACTTACCAAATGTAAAAGATTTGTTATAGTATTTTATTGGAAAGATTAATGGAAAGATTAATATTTACAAATATTCCATCTCCAACGGTGCTCTTTGAATGGTAAGTACTGACTATTTTTTGTATATGCTCTTAAAAATTTAGAGATAGTAGTGTTCAATTAAATAAAATGGTAAGTATTTAAATACTATCCATTTATATCCAATGCACCATGTGTGATTAAAGATCCGTATATCGATACTTCCATATTTATGAATTTCATACTTAAATTAGTAAGTAACAAAGATTTATTAATGGAAGTTCGTGTATATATAGGTTGAAATCAATGAGTATACCTATAATAATAGAAATTCCAATACTATTTTTTATTCCTTACTTATTTGTCATTCTTCCATAACTATATATTATTGATGACCTTACTTATATATATGGTCATTAACAAAATTTACGGAAAATATTATTAAGAAACAATCCTAAAAGATATTGAATTTGTAAATTATGACCACGAGTATATTATTCTTCAACTTACTTATATTATGTACCTTGATAATACTAATATTATTTTTCATCTATTTACCTATATACAACAATCCTTAATTATGAATCTTGGATAATCAATAATATTATATGTAAATATATATGTTTTTGGGATGATTGGACTTCTTTCCTTCTTATGATGATTAGTCTCTACAAAATTTTCTCTTCTTTCGAATTTTCCGGTTCAAATCTCTAGATTTTCTACCCTTATTGTTGTAGGTTTCCTTCTTGCGATTTATATTAGGTTATATATAAATCAAATTTTAAGTAAGCCATTTTATCAATTTATTTTTTCATTGTAAGCCGCGTTCATACCTAAAACCTCTGATTAATTGACATGTCTTCAAAACCGATCCACCCTTTGTTGAATATCAATCCATCAAGTGAATGCTGGAGAGTTTTGGTTCGTGTGATTCGACTGTACAAGATGTCAGTGTATAGTGATGAGAAGATGACGAATTCGATTGAGATGATATTCATGGACGAACATGTAAGAATTGTACTCTTATTCGTATTTTGCATACAATATAAAATTTATGTTTAATAGGATTTCTTATAATTTTTTAGAAGCTGGAAGGTTATTTTGCTTTTACTTTCAAAACACAATTATACTAATCTGTATAAAAAACCAAAATTCTTCAGTCGCCCATATTGAATAAATAAATGAAGAATGATAAGTCTGTTGTTCTTAAAGTATAATGAGTCTGCTTTCCTTGAAGCTTCTATTTTCAGCACCATAAAAAATAATTTTTTTATTAAAGTACTGAAGAGTTAAGCCTGTCTTTATTTTCAGATTTATAGTCTGCAGTTTTTGAACATATTTTATAGTGTGGAGTTTAGTTTTTAGTCTCTTGAAGTTTCTCCATATTCAAAGTATTGAAAAAACAAAACACACTATAGTCTGTTCTGATTCTAAGTATTAAAAAACAAAACACACTATAGTCTGTTTAGTTTTTTTAGTGCCTATTCATGTTGAAGTTTCTCCAGTGCCTAAAACCATGAGACTAAATTTTTTTAATAGTGCCTAAGAAGAAATTTTTATAATTTATGTAATAATAACTCTGCCGTTCTTAAAGTGTAATAAATCTGCTGTACTTGAATCTTCTATTTTCAGCACCATAAAAACATATTTTTTTATTAAAGTATTGACGACTTGAGTCTGTCCTTATTTTTCAGACATTAATTTCAGATTTATAGCCTCCTGTTTTTTTAACATATTTTATGGTGTGGAGTTTAATTTTTATAGTCTCTTGAAGTTTCTCCAGTCCTTAAATATTGAAAAAACAAATCACACCATAGTCTGTCTACGTTTTATAACTCATACCTGAAAGAGCAATGCTACGTTCACAAACAGAATGATCACAAACTCCACAAACTTACTATTTATGATTTAAATTCTCAATTTAAAATTATTTTAAACCATTTAATTTTTTTTATCAAAGTTCACAAATAGTAAATTTGTGATTTTTGTGATGATTGTGTTTGTGAACCAAACATTTCCCTACCTGAAATGATAAGAAATATAAATATAAATATAAATAATCACCCAAATCAATATCAACACACAGAATAAGAATTCAAGAGTCATCGATGTGTAGATTGACGGTCTGCTCTGTGATTTTAAGGCCAATGAATCTCATATGGATTGTGTAATGGTACAAGATTAATTGTTGACGAGATGCGAAAGAATGTTATTGGTGCTATTGTGGTTTCGAGAAATCGAGTGGGAAAAAAAGTTTACATACCCTGGATGAATTTGGTACCGTGTGATCCAGGACTACCTCTAAAGTTCCAGAGAAGATAATTTCCAATAGTTTTATGTTTTGCTATGACTATTAACAAAAGTCAAGGTCAAACATTGTCATTTGTTGGCTTATTTTTAACCAAGTCAGTGTTCACTCATGATCAGCTTTATGTTGCTGTTTCGCAAGTGAAGACAAAGACATGATTAAAAATATTAGTCTTAGATGACAATGGAAATCCTTGCAGCCATACAAAAAATGTTGTATACCCTGAAATCTTTCAAAAAATTTGGTATTAAAGCAAACTTTGTTATGTGTAGATTCAATTCCTCAAATATTATTCTTTTAATTTGTCTTTCTTTTCTGTGTTATTATAAATCATGCATGAGGTATATTTTCTTTATTCCGGAAAAAAATATTGCATTGAATAAATTTAGAATCGACAAGATATTCGTCCGAACCCGTGCATTGCACGGGTAGGAATACTAGTAACAATAAAACATATCAGT